ATTGAATTGAAAGAAGCTTTAAATAAACTGAAGAATATCCTTTTAAATTCGAACTATCCATCGGTTGAAATAGACAGATTAATTGACGATGCAGTTTTTACATGCATGTCAAAAAGAAGTTTTATTGACTTACCAAGTTGATCAAAACCCTCTTAATTTTATATAGGCATACTCAGAAGACTACGGCGAATGGAAGGATATAAAAACAAGTTACCAAGTTGAATTAGTTAATTGAAAAAACAATCTCTCTACATAAACTATTGGCTTATTCGTTGACGTTTCGTGGAAGACTCCCACACCTTAGATCAAAAATCAAATATATACAAGTGAATTATATATCTGCTCAATAACTATAGTGTCACATTTTTCTCTTTTTTCTCCTTTCAATCTTTTTCTGTTAATTGATACTAACACGGAACAAGACGGTTATACTGGCGGAAGTTAGTTCTCATAGTACTTCTTCGTTCGTGTCAGTATCACCGTCTTGTCCCACACTCGTTGTTCTTTGATGCTGTTCGAATAACTGCTGGTTTAGTCGAACTTTCTTCAAAATTTGCTGTTTTGTAATAAGCAAAATTGGTGACCAAGCATCACTAAGAGTTTCGTGTCTATTGACCGATTCATTCAAAATCGAGCAAATTGATTCTTTTATTTTTCGTTTTTTCTAGCTAACTTCCTGTTCCAAAACAAAGGCTTTATCAACATCAAAGAGGCATTGATATCTTCTCATCTGGTGGTGTTGGACCATTTCTGAGTTGGAGTTCCTTTCATCCTTCTCGATTGTTTTCTGGTGTTTTTTCATTCTATTCATCAGACTAACTTTGGATTCACCATTATACACCGTTCCACAGTCACATGGAATCTGATAAACAATGGATTTAGATTTTCGTTTGATTGAGCTGTTTAATGATGTTTGCAGCTTATTCGGATATGAGAAAAATAATTTAACTTTGAGTCTTTCTAGTCGATGTTTCAGAGTTTCCATACCAGGGACATAAGGGAGAGTATATCATTAGAGTATTTCATTTCATCTTTTTTACCACTGTCATTTGAGCTGTTTGTTTCATTAGAGTTAAAACTTCGTACTGCATCATCAATTAATCTGTCTATTTCAACCGATGGATAGTTCGAATTTAAAAGGATATTCTTCAGTTTATTTAAAGCTTCTTTCAATTCAATAGGATTGCTAGTTGTTTCTAGAATTCGTCTTGTCATGTTTCTAACTAGCTAGATTCACTTTAATTGATTTTTCATGGCACGAATTATAATTCAGTAGCTTATCTGATGCCGCGTGCTTGCTAAACCATCTGATATCTAGTTTATTTCCATTTACATTAATATTGCTATCGTTTCGTTAACAGAATTTTATCAGAATTAATAAAAAATTGTCGGATAAAAAATCAAATTTTGCAAAAATAAGAGAATTTTGTCAGAATTAACAGAATTTAGCCAGGCGTGAAACGTGGAATACTGCAAGTACAACAGAGTTTGGGTACAAGTAACAGAATTTTGCCAGTTTAAAGGCCTTATGTCCAGATTGCTTTTGCCGCAAAACGAAATAGTAAGCATATAGGTATACATACCTGCATACCGCAGAAATCTAGAAATCTAGAAATCAAGAAATCAAGAAATCAAGAAATCATGATGACAAAGTTTTTCCTACCCGGACCGGACCGACCGGTTCAGCTTTTCGAAAAAACCGGACCGGCCAGTTTAATGCGTAGTTCAACCGGTAAAAAACTGGTCGATTCCATAGCAGATTGAAGTCCGGATTTTGTGAAAAATCGATTTTTTGCAGAAAGCTGAGAAGTGAAGGTAACTGGAAATGGTGAAGAAATTGAGGCTGATTATGCTCTTTTATAGGCAAATGTTTATCGGAAAAAATGCTACTATATGTGGACGGCTGTTTTTCATACAGAAGTAATAAACATATGAAACTCAATAGGAAAAAGAGCATAGAACAATCATTTTTTAATGAAGAAAAATTCATGGACTAATTTCTGCTGATGCAGTGACCATTCTGTGTCATAGCATCTCTTATCTACCTGCCTTTTTTGAAACTTTCGAAAGACACTGATATGGGTAGTAGACATTATTGTCGTTATATACCATACAATAGGTTATCAAGATGTGTCTTGCCTATTGGTAGAAAAATATTTTCCGAAACAAATCCAATTTTTGTGATTTCATCAGTGGTGTATCCGCTCTCGAAAATTTTAACAATAAAGGAATTCCGTTTCCCAAGCACCTGGTTTCCTGACGCTTTACGAGCTTGAATTATTCGCTTTTCGAAATTCAACGGTACGTTTGACATGGCAATACATGATACAATATCTGAAACCAAATCTATTTTACACAGTCGAAAAAGAAAATCTTTTATTCTGATCAGCTAATGACTGTTTTTTAAATCAACTTAGGTTCTTTTCTGTTAATAGCCGATTTTCAAGTCATAATCTATTAGATAATGTTTATCTTCTATAGAAAACAACACATCAGGCCTCGAAACCGAACACTTTCTAATGGCCCGATCCTGACCGAAGTAGGCCAAAATTGTTCAGACCCGCCCGGCCCGATTTCAATTTGACTACGGCCCATCCATCGGGTTTGTTGACACGCCCGGCCCGGCATAAGCTAGAGGAAATTTTTCCGTTTTTTTGTATAACACTTTTCTACTTGATAGAAGTCAAAGAGCATTTTCGTAACTTGCAAGACTGTTATAAATAGCACATCATCAATTTGATGATTTGATGATTTAATTAGATCAGATTATCCAAATGAACACAAGGACAAGGAGAGAGATAAATTTCATCAGTTTGATGTTTTTCCTTGGTCATATTCGAAGAATCAGCCTAATCACTATTCGTAACGGGTGCTATTAATGCTGGTCCGTTTTCTGGATTAGCTTCAAAGTCAGTTCTGTTGCACAATCACAATAGAATTAATGGTATGAAAAACATGTAATAAAACAAAGTTTATTTCAATTGAAACTACAAAGAACGAAAAAAAGAAACAAAAATATTTACCATAACCCTATCGGTTTATTTATTAATCACTTGAAATTTAATGAATACCTTTTCATAGAACTTTTTGATGGTCTTTATTGCTATCGACATGGATAAATTTCTCTAGTGAGAGAAAATATGTAAAAATTCGGCCCGGGCGCCCCGCCAAAAATGTTAACCCGGTCTGGCCCGATGGTTTCTTTCGACAGGCCCGCCCGGTTCGTGGAAAAAGTTCTCCGGGTCAGGTCGGGCCGGATCAGGCAGGGTTGGGCCGAGCCCGGCGGCTCGTTTCGAGGCCTGCAACACACGAACAAGAATATGTACGATTCATCTTGCCGGCCACAAACTTTAAATGAATTTCTCTCATTTTCAAGGTGAGTATTATGGAAGAAGATGTCACGATCGGCTTTTTCTCTATCGCTGTTTTCATTGGAGAAAACCTTTAGAGTAGCTTGCTTTGTGTTGAAGTCGGTGAGATATACAGAATGTCTATATATTTATTACTAATATACAATTTAACCTAGCTACTCCATGTGGGATAGCAAGACATGTTTTGTAGTCTGAGATAAGGATAAAATAAGCGAAAAATAAAAAAATGAGTAAATTTTGTAGACAATGGCATCATCATTTGTCTATTCATAATTACTTCGATGTTTGATGTCGAAGTTTAGTGATCAACGCTTTTGTTCTAATCTTTTTTCCATTTATTCTGCGTTGTTGTCGTTAGTATCAGACGGTATACTAATGAGCTAGTTGAAATGTAGACTCGAAGGGACATCTGGGCGAACATAAGACTTGACTGTAACTCTTTGAACCCTATCCAACCATATAAAAACACGGAAAAAAAATTTCGTCGACTTTTGAACTATCTGTACTTGAGCTTACGAAGATCACATGTTCTAGTCCTACTTTCGCTTTCATTATGCTTTTATTTAGACTAGTCTAGCCGATCATTGTTTTTAGCGTATTTCGGACAGTGATCATATGAATCGTCATGTGTGGTCTTTTTCTAAAAGAATTCCTCGTACCTGACTAGTCACAATTTCGAGAATCGATTTCGCAAGGCTTATAAGGGCACATAGCGAGTGAAATAAAAATCAGTATATAATCACAATTTGTAGAGCCTTCTTTTTAAAAAATATACAAGACGTAGGGTCTTCGGGTCATTTTGACCACGTCCATCCTGTATACTTTTTAGAAAGAAGCCTCTAGGAATTGTGATTATGAGACACTTAAATATGTTCCCTTGTTAGATGCTAAAGTTTTTCCGAAAAAGACGACGCATGCTCGGTAATAAACATGACCGTGAGTCCCATAGTCGGGACGAGAGCTATGACAGACAAAAATTCTAGATTAGTCGCATATTAAAACTTTCTGAAACAAAAACTAAGTATGGTGGGATGTTAAGACCAGAAATGACTCGTATTTTAACCCGGATTTTGCTTACCTGTGTGGATATTAATTTCTAGCAGTGCTTCACTCTCAAACTTTATTTGTTTACCGGTCTTGAGCAAGCCGTCAACGCGTTATTTTTGAAAGAGAAATGAATGTGCTCCTTTTTCTTTTTCTCTTTATGCAATTGTTTCTCTTCTGTAACATTAAAGGTATGTTTATTTGTATTGGACACATGGCACTGCGAGTTTCACTTTTGCATGGCAGTATGACAAGTATAGCGCGTCTCAATTGAATTTCCTGCCGTGATTTTTTTTCATTTGTATTGAAAAATTTCGTTTTCGTATTGACATTCAATATATAGCAAGAAAGTATGGACTTCATTGCATCGCATGACATACTAGCAATATATTCGCTCTAAACAGCACTGTAGATTGATGTGAACAGGAAAAAAAGTTTATCGCTCGTTGTTTTATGATGTAGTTCAGTGAAACAGTTTTTTAATTCTGCCCCATCTCAATTGTTTAGATAAAGAAACGTTGATTCTTCGTTTTCATTGATGCTAATGATATTATCTAGGGCGCTTTGGATGAGAAATGCATAGGTCGTAATTGGAAATATCCAGAGCTAAAGGTACCGTACCCTCAGTAACGTATCACGTGGGAAGCACAAGTATCGCAGGCATGTGGGCTAAACCAATTATTGATATTGTAATGAAACTACGCTTTTATTACGCTGGTCATAATCTTGTAAACTTCTCGGACGTTACACGTGTTTTAATCAGTCTTGGTTATCAGCTTTCATTTGATATCTGGCAAGATGGGAGGAAAACAAACTAGCCAAACCAAAAGATTGTTAAGGTAATTGCGATTATTGCTTCGGGTAAGGAAAGTTTTGTTTGAGTCACTTTAAAGGGTGAACCAGTCAAGTATATAATTCATGTGATTAGTGATGCAAAACCTTTTATTATCTTCCTGCGATTATCTTCGAACGCATGAAGATGAACGATATAAATACAGCAAATTCAAACGAGAGCTAAATAACCACGTGGGACTTTATATCAAAGAGTATCCAATGGCCAAAGACGAATATGTTCAAGGGTTAGCAGAAAAAGCAGATGAATGGTACAAAAAAAACAATAACTACATTCATTTGGGTACATTCGACCAAACCAAAAATAGATGGACATGTTATGAGAACAACCTCTGTCGAAGCGGCTGCTTTTGTCCAGCTTGGAGGAAAGATGCTTATCACCCTGGTAGATTCTCTTACTCAAATTACCATATAATTCTTGGTTGCTGGACCTGTTGCTCACAAGGATATTACTCAGACGGATGTAAAAGATTGTTACTACTACCGGATGACAAGGTATTTCCTGCTTTCATTCGCACTATAACTCTGTATCATCGTGTGAGCTTAAAATGTCCGGAACACATGCTTCCCATGATACCATTCGTGCTCGTGTTCACATGTGGTTCGGCATGTTACCTCACAAATTTGTAATGGACAAGGTTGAAGTCGTTTTCAATGCAGCACGGTATCGAATGTTTTTGGGTCAATTAGAAATAATTGAAAATCGACAAGATCAACCGGCATTTCAACCATCATTATCGAGTGAAATAAGTGCAGTGGAACGAGAATAAGTTATAGAACGTCTAAATCAATTGTGCAAACAAGTATCACATAATCGAAAAGTGAAAGTAGCTCGTATGTGGCATGGTTGTCTATTTTGGATTTTTTTCCGCAGCCACAAACTCTAAAAAAGATTCAGATAGTGACTTGAGTAGAGAAAATTGTTTCCAACAAGGATTTGAGAAACTAAAAATCATCACTAGATCCCCGATAATAGAGTTTTCTAGAAAACCAAAATCCTAGTTTTCCAGCACCTAGTACTTGCGAATAGAATTTTGTTCAAACTACGTAGAACGATAGTGCAAACAATTCTCTACAAAATGAGATGTCCCCGAGCTCTCTACGACGTTTTTTGGTTGAACTATATCAAATTTACGACAAGCCCAAAATAGGACTTTTTCAGGTCGTTTCCCCCCAAATGGATACTCCAGTGACCATTCTGTGTCATACCATCTCTTATCTACCTGGCTTTTTTGAAACTTTCGAAAGGCATTGATATGGGTAGTAGACATTATTGTCGTTATATACCATACAATAGGTTATCAAGATGTATCTTGCCTATTGGTAGAAAAATATTTTACGAAAAAAATCCAGTTTTTGTGATCTTTTTCGGAGATAATGAATAAACTCTATAGGTGGCATACCTAGCAAAATAAAATAAAAATGTTTATTTTGTCCTTATTTCTTAAGATTTTGCCTGTAAATTTATTCATAGTCAATTAGACTTGATGGATCGTAGTCAATTGACACATATTGCACCCAACTCATTTGACAACAACGATGATAATGATAATAATACTGTTATAATCAAGAATGTTGATAAAGATAAATCATATAATATTAATACATCGTCACAAACATGTAACTGCTATTTTAATTCAACAATGTTGTTACCTTGTCTTCACATACTATTTCATTTGAAATCTATTGATAAACTTAAAGTAAATTATGATTTAACATCTTTACGTTGGCTTAGACATACAACGACAAACAATGACATTTCATTTAATCCAGTTCCTATTTTGCAATCAACATCAAATAAAAATGACAATCAGAAAAATACACTTAATAATGGATTTGAGTCTAGTGATGATGATGATTGTGCAGTACAGTCAAATGATAACAGTTGCTGCTTAACCGTGGCTGAAAAAAATCGATTAGCATGGAATGAGTTTCATATGATTAATAATTATCTGACGCAGCTAGGGACTACTGAATTTTATGAACGATTAGATGATTTAAAAAATGTGTTCATATCTTGGACCGAAAAGCAACAGTACGTAGAATTAGCTACTTCTCTCACTAAAACTGAATTATATTTGCGTTTGTGCGAATTTAATAATCGAGAAGGTTACCTCAATCAACGAGTTTACCATTCGATTCAGCTTTTAAATACCATAGAATTTCAAAATATCTTTTCTTAAGAAAACTTTACGGCTTTTGACAGGTAACTTACATTGTTATGTATAACTAAAGATGTTCACTATGCATTTCGACTCCACTTATGTATTGGATAGTTTCTGAAGAATTTTGTTTCTCAAAATTGTATCACATACTCTACACATAATCTCTCAACCCGTGCGATTTTTTTCCAGTTGTCGACTTTGGAAGGCTATGACTTCTTCATAGAATCTCACTCTTTAGCCAAGACAGCATAAGTGTACCATTAACTGATATCTTGCATGACTCTCTCAGCACGCGATTAGCACAATGTTTATTTTTGCTTTAAATTGTTTACAGACTGAAAAATCAAGCAGAAACTGAAACTCAGACTTCATTAACAACAAGTCCTGAAAAACGTGATGTTAATAATGTAATACCATTATTTACTATTACTCGAGTAGTTCATCCTCGTGGGCGTCCGAAGCAAACTAAGAGACATACATCATTCTATAAAAGAATTACAAGTGCCAAACCATCAAGTAAAACGAAAACAAAGCGTCTCCAAGGCCGCCCACTTTCATCCACTTTAAAAAACTTATTAATGAATAACGACGTTGATCTTGCTCCGACGCCAGCAATAGCACCATCACGAACAGAACCGCTGATTGACAACAGTGATATTACTCATTCTCAACAATCAGTTAGTAGTAATTCAAGTAGTAAAGTCACCAGATCGGTTGCGGAAGCAGCTGTAGCAACAATAACGTTATTACCACGATCATCTCCACCACAATCATTTAATAATTTTCTCTTAGCTTCAACAGAAAACGAAAACAAACTAGAATCAAATTCAGTAATCAATTTAAATTTAAATGCATTGGAAGAAAATGAAAATATTATGAATTTAAATACATCAGATAATCAAAATCATCATCAACAAGGACAACTACCATCGATACCATTACCACCAACAGTTATAACTCATGATGTTAATACAACAGACGATGAAGCTAAAGAAAATTTATGTATTATCACAGAAGAAATAATTGTTAAAAAAATGCTTTTTGATCCACCAACAAAAGAATGGATAATGAAACAACTTACTGATCTTAAATTGATTAGAACCAGAAGTAATTTATCATCTATAGTCATTCCAAAGTATGGGGTTCAACGTGATATAACTATAAATAGTAGACCAGTGGTGATTAAAGATATTAAACCAGATGGAAATTGTTTATTTCGGTAAGGCTCAGTTTGCACCTCAGCTATATAACTGCTCTCACGTATTGAAGTTTAAGTGCTCTACATGTCTTTTACAGCATAAACAAAACAACTGTCTAACCGGTGTGCTCTTTCAATTCTAAATGCCGAAGGTGTGGTTTTGGAAGATGGAATACATTCGGCAGATTTGCGGAATATTTGCTTAGAGTGTAAGCTAAATATTAGCTTAAAATAAGCTTAAAAATAAAATTTAAAAAAGCTAAAAGATTTTGCTAAAAGTTTCTCAAACTAAAAAATATGTTCGTTTTAAGGAAACCGTTAACATTGCTTATGTTCGTCTCTTATTTCCCTCATACCTGTACACGAATTACTTTGTCAATTAAGTCGTTTTCTGTTCTCGAATTTCAGCTGTTTGGGTTATGCAATATCGGGAAATGAGGAGCTGCATGCATCAATTAGAAGTTTAATTGTAAAGCAAATTTGTGCACAAGTTTACACGAGTTATGGAGATGAAAAATTTAAAAACTATACTGCAGCTGATTATATAAGAGCTACAAAAATGAATCACTTAGGAACATGGGCAACAGAAAAAGAAATTTTTGCTGCATGCGATAACTTCAAAACAGAGATATTTATTTTTCAATGTCACAAAGACGTCTGGATGAAATGGTATCCCCTTTATAGTGAATGTTCTTCAGGACCATCTATTTATCTGCAAAGAAATTTGCAAAAGAATCATTTTGATGTGGTCTTAGAAACTGAATAGATAAGGTAAACTTATGTTTTATTTTAAAAAAATTTAATTTTGTGCGAGTTTTTTTTTGACATCTGCTGGATAAAAACCTTAAATAACAAGTAGCACTAGATTTCACTTTTTTGGGTGGTTTTCATTTTCGAAAACAAACAAGCTTGAGTTTGCTAAAACGTTATTGATTAGTCAACAGAAAAACCGCTTGAGAAGCAAACTGTAACTTTTATTCTCTTTTTATTTTGGTTTCATTCTAGTGAAAACAATTACAGCTGGTTTTCTTAAAGCAAATTAAACTTTATTTTCACTTTAGAATGGTAGTCTTGATCTTTTTGTTCTTCTTTTTATTTGTTTTTGATTGATAGTTGTAACTACTGTAGTAAAAAAATAAAAACGTGTGTGTGCTCTATGCTTCTTGCAGAAATCATAATTGTGTAGAATATCTTTAAGCCACATATGAAAAACGAAACCATACATTGATGAATATAGCTTACTTTTGCAAAAGCTTCCTAGCATGAACAATTTTCTATACCTCATAAAGCCCGTTCGTGTAAATTTCTACACACGTCCACATATTCCACTTTTTCAGTGACAGTCTCACCAATGCAACCAGTTCTGCGTACAAACGTAATAGAAAACGAATACAAAGGCACCTTGAATAACAATACAGATAACCAGTTGTGCCTTAGAGAAAACATCCTTAGAACTTCAACGCAAAGAAATTCATAAAGCGGACCGGAAATTACACTCATAAGTTAAAATACGATGACTCGTTTTGACACCCTCAGCGAGTGGCAATAGCTCTTATTGACACCCTCAGAGGGTGGCAATAGCTCTTATTGACACCCTCAGAGGGTGGCAATAGCTCTTATTGACACCCTCAGAGGGTGGCAATAGCTCTTATTGACACCCTCAGAGAGTGGCAATAGCGCTACCCATATTTCTATTGGTCTCCTCTCTCTTTTTGTTCTCCACACAAAAACGTCTTTCCCTGCAGTGAATGCAGGTAAAATCTTCTCTCCTGCAGGGAGTGCAGGCAGGAAAACATTCTTCTTTATCTGCCGGCCGTTAGTGGAGAAATTTTTCATTCACCTGCAAACTGCAACCTGCCTGCACTGCCTGCAGCTTGCAGGCAGTTTACAATGCAGGTGATCAGCTCTGGTATGAGTTTGTGTTCAAACTCATAGTGTTACACACGCTAAGCTTTTACGATGTTTGATCATTTCAAAAAGAAAAAAAGACGAGATGCAACATTTACATTGACTTGTAAGTTGGGTCAGTTACAAATTCATATGTGGTTGAAAGCTCGATTCGTTTAAAGGAAGCCTGTTCTGCCGATTTAAAAGCGTTTGATGTTGAAGAATTTGAAGATATTTCTTTTATAGAAACGTGTAAATTGTATATTCGTGATGCTGTGAATGGAGTAACTTGTGATTATAAATCAAAATGTGCTACTAAACATTGCCAATGTGAAAAATCGATTGTCGCTTCGCTTGTTCAACGCAATGCCATTCGAAACGCAGACAATGTAAAAATATGGAATAGTCGTATGGTGTTTTTCTTTCTCACTCTTTCTTTCATTGTTATTCTTCTCCAAAATTTCCTCATAAGAGTTGGTTTGATTATGATAAAAAAAAAGAAATTTTTCTTAAGATGTAAATAGTTTGATTGGCAAACCGAAAATAAATGATTCCGGAAAAGTGTAGCACCGATCCCGTTTGCAAAAATTTTGTAAAAAGATAACACAAATAATTCTGGTTTTACAGGTTCTTTCGTTCAAAAGCTATGACACAAACACGAACACCTACTTTTTGAAAGTTATCCGAAAAAGTAGGTGTTTGTATTTTCGTCATAGCTTTTGAATAGAAGAACGTGTAGACTGCGGGAACGTCTCAAAATTGTTAGCACACTTTTCTTTTAATCTAAGATGTTGTAAAGCTCTGGACTTGTCGCCCTTCAAAAATTATAAGAGAAACAAAATACCAAAAAACCGTCACAGAATTTCACTCCAGTAGCAGAGTTATCTGGTCGTGCTGTTATGCTAAAACTTCCGTGATCTAAACTTTTTGTTTTATACAGACGATCGACATAGCTGTATCGATTGTATGACTCGAAGTTTTCCCTCCGAAACTTTATTTTTTCAAATTTTTTTTCGTGTGGTACGATGCCTATGGAAATCACTCGTATGGAGATAATGACCGATAGATTTGTGAATGGTGTTTGGCAATAATGTTCATTTCCTAAATAAATAACAGCCGTAAAATCGTTGTGGTAAGCCATTGAGCTCTTCCACTGTCGTTTTTCAGATATCCCCTCCTCGGACATTTTTTGAAAATGAACGAAGAGAATTTCGCAATGAAAATGTGTTGTCATTAAACAAATCACAGTTGGAGATGTTACAGAAAGTAATTACACGGTCTTTTAACACCTTTTAGACGGGAAACGAAAAAAGTCGTTTTTATGAAAAGTATGAAAATTCCGGGAAACGAGTTTTCTCGTTTTTGAATTTGTTTTGTTTTTTTCGTATTTCGATGTACTTTTTTCTTTATATAATAAATAAAATGACAAATAAATGCTCTTTAGAAATTAAATTAGAGCAATATATATTGTTTTCAAGTGTCTTACTGATTATGAATACTCTTTATTATCAATTATTGTTTAAAGTTATTTTTAGAAAAAAAATTAGAGCGGTTATCAAATCATTTTCAAACTGTAAACTTCACTTTTGTAAAAATGAAGCGAAAATACACTAAAAAAGTTGTAGCTGATCATTTATCAGATGCACCAAGCGATGCAGAAAGTGATAATAGTGATAACAGTGATGACAGTAAATCAGTTGAACCAGTTTTGTGTAAAAGAAGAAGAAAAAATGTGCGAATTATTAGAGATTCCGATCTTGATGATGATGAGTGGAATGAAATCGATGAAGTTCCAGAAATTGAGGATTTTATGGGCGATCCTGGTGTATGTGTACAGCCTAATTCTCCAAACATTTTTGATATTGTGAAAATGTTCCTGGATGAAGAAAAAGTGGAACCTTCATTCTTGCGCTTTTCGATCGAGCTTTATTCGTGCTATAAAAAGATCGTCCGGTATTTTTGAAATTCCTCTCCATTATATTCAGAGTCAGCGTCGAAAACTGAGTCGAATGATATATGTTTTGGAAGTTTTCGTTGATTTTCATTTTTTCGTGAAAATCTCAGCAATTTTTTGACGTGAAAATTCGAAAAAAACAAGTGGTCGGATAGGATAAAAAGGGACATCAGTCAACTCAGTTTTTGACGCTGACTTCGAATATGATACTTCTATTGCATAAAAGGTGAGTTCTGGTGGAGAAAATTGGAAATTACGGGCAGAATTCCAATTTTTTCGCTCCTTATTTAGCAACAGTGAAATTTCTCAGCAACGGAGAGGAATTTCAAAAGAACCGAACGATACTTTTATAGTACGAATAAAGGCCGATCGAAAAGCGCAAGAATGAAGGTTCCACTTTTACCAGAAAAAATTAGATAGCTTTTTGCGACGGGGTCTCCGCTTTGGAGATATCCTCGAAGATGAATTTTTCGTGCAATGACATTACATATGGAAACCATCAAAAACATATTTTCTAATTCAGTTTTCAACGCTGAATTGGAAAAAGACTGTTTGACAGTTTCAAAATAAAGAGGAGAAAAAGTATTCAACTTTTTTCGAAAGTGGAACGTTTTTCGGATTTTAAGACCCTTCCCGTATTTTCAATTTTTCGACGCAAAAAAGTGCACTGGGAAGGCTAGAAGGGCGATATTCTTGTTCAGCATGAAATTCTTTATCGAATAATGTATGAATAAGTCAAAAATAAAATCGTGTGGAAACCTCGAATAAAAAGCTTCCAAGATTCCCAAATATACTATGTTCGAGTTTTACGTTAGTTTTTAAAAAATAAGCCGTTTTCTATAATTATAAAATTTTCAGTTTTTTAAAATTGTCGACATTAAAATTTTGATTCGAAAGGTTAAAACCTACATATTCTTGTTCAACTGGACGAGCTCTATCCAACATGTATAAATATCGCAAAAAATAAATGCTTAAGTTTTCAATTACGGGTACCTTACACATATAGAGCGTGATACAGCAAAAATTTCAAGTGCCTCGGATCGTTCTACGCAATGTTTTTCTATATTTACTGATTTTTATGTTGATTTTCTGGACAGGCTCGATCGGAAACAATACTCGGGTTTCGCGCTTAACAGTTGATGCGAAGAAATCAGTCCCGTATTAATGCCTCTATCTGTTATAAAAGTTTTGACTAATTCTGGCACTACTTGAACAAGCATAGTCGATCTGTCTGTTGTATTTTCTCAGTACTGGCTCACAGGGAAGAAAAATGAATTTATTTTTATATCCTTCTAGAACATTATTTACTGTCTATTATTTATAACGTTTATACGAACAACAACACAGTGGGAAATGCCAGAAAATGATACCTTGATCATCGACGAAAGAACTAAGGTATCAGCTGAGAAAGCTGGATAACTCATGCCTTTGTCGGAAACGACCGGAATTGCTGTTAATCTCCCTATTTTCAACTTTGGATGTTTTTCGGTTCCGCCAAGATATTTTACTGTGTTTGATATATGAGTGAATTGCATTATAGTTGTACAATCACTGGTTTAGGTGTTTTTCTGCATTTACTTTTTTTCCTGTGAACGGATTTTAAAAAACTTTTTTTCCTGTGAACCGATTTTAAAAAACTTCTTTTTGTTTGATTCACCAGCACATTTCGCACTACCGGTAAAAATTTCAGCTTCCAAACGTTCCAATTGACCAAGTTATAAGCGTTGAAAGTCGAAAAAAATGGTATTTTGCAAAAGCAGCCTGTCAAAAAATGCAATTTGTGCAGCAAAAAAGCACAACATAGATAAAAATGAGTAGTGCATCTTATAGAGCACTAAATTTGCTATCAAACCATGCTTTTCATTTTTCCCTTTGTAACATTTTAGGCTGTATTTTTTCGCAGTTTTACTTTTACGTACACTTTGAAGCCTCCCACCAAAATGCATATAGCTCACCCAAATTAGGAGACAGCTTTTTCATTCTTGCGCCAAAAGAAAGAGCAGTTCGGGCGACACAAAGTCTAGGTAAAATCAAAAACCATATTAGTTACTTTGTTGGAGAAAAAAAAGCAAAATTCCTTTTTTCACACCACCTTTTTTTGAAGCCGCCCTTTGTTTTAATGTTTTTTGGGTCCGGACACGTAAGATTTTTTCTTCGTAGCGCTTTTTCGGCATTTTTGAGCACAGGCTCGTACCACAGACCTCTTGGGTTGCCACTAGGTGAGTTTTCATAGATACTGTTGCCTTCGTATACAAAGTTATGACGAAAAGAAATCACTGCTTTGTATTCGTAAGCCTGCAATAAAAGGGGGCAAACTTCTTTCTGGATTTTCTCATCTAAACGAGGTCTGGTAGTCGGGAAATTTTTATCCCACACACAGAAAATGACGGGGAACAAGATAGGCGTCTCAGATTTTTTATATGAGCACTTTCATTTTTTTTTGGGAATTGTACAAAAAAATTGCAATTCACTCGTATGTACCGACACCACAAATAATCGTATTATGAACAAAATGAAACCAATATAAACGAAGTGTTATGTTCAATGAATACATCAAGCAAACTGTTTAGTGAACGATTTATGGATGCAGTTGATAGTGCTTCGCCAAGAAAAAAACGTCAGCTAGCCGAATTTAATGTAGGGACCAGTATGTTGGCAATGGGGACATCAGTATATAATTCTATACAAATTGCCAATATTAAAGATACAGAACAACAAATAATAAATCAATGATAAATTCGAATGATAAAATTTTACAATCAACTGTTGCTAGCATTATATCATTGACAGAGACGGAAATGGCTGTTGTCAAAGAATTAAATGAAACACGTCATTCCATGTCACTTATTCAAAGCAGATTAATATTGATGTATAATCGTATGAAAACATTAGAAAAAACATTACGTACTGTAGTTCAAGACTATATTCCTTCTATCGAAAACGAAATTCACTACGATAATATTCCTCGATCACTAGATGATGTTTCAAATGAAAAAAAAACTCGATTATTTAACATATGATGAATTACGTCAATTTGCCAATGCAGTTTTCAAACAATCAATAAAACTATTATTATTGTTTGATATGCCAATGATGACAATAATGAATCGTCTACTTGCATCTCAAACATTTTATTTTGTTCCTAATACCGATAATAATACGAACGGAAACAACAGAAAAATTACAAAACACGCTGGTCCAACTGTTTTTCATCTCGGTAATTTTATAATATCGAATGTTATTTTCACTATTTGTTCCAAACCATATATGCCGATCTATGAAATATTCGGTACGCCAACGTTCACAAAGAATATGTCATATGAAATACATAATTTACCTCGATTTATTAGCATTGATTATAAAAGAAACATATCGTTAGCCTGGTATCAGGGTGATAACAATATTGAAAATTGTTTCTTTCGAAAAATCACATTGTGTCATATATTACCAGTCATGGTACGTACAATCGAACATCCATGTTTACACAATATGTTTGCTCATGGAGAAGAGAAGAAAAAATGTGTATTTATTGAATCGTCTATGAAACCACCGTTCGTACGAAATATGCATGATAGTGCTTGGATGATATCCGTGGCAGAAGATATTTGCTGTATTATGACAGATAAAAACGAAGAAGAAAAAAATGAGAACAGAAACAAAATCGGTCTGATCGATGATTCTAATGACGATAATATTATTATCAAAAAATTTGCTATCATTCGTTTACCATGTAAACATATATTGACATGTCGTTTAAAAATAACATTGAAAAATATGAATTGTAAACATGATTCGGATGAACAATATTATCTGAGGTGCAATGGTAATTATTACAAAACAGAAAAATTGATAAATTTACTAAAAACTGATCCTATTGATGAACAGCAAATACTCGGATTTGTCAACGATGCTAATCATATTAATATGATTAGTAAAGATGTATCCAATCTTCTCGTCGATCAGCGTAAAATGAAAGAAGCAGTCGATTCAAAGTTGTTGAATATTCCTATCGGTCGAACTCGTGTTAGTTTACAGACATTATTAATAATAATATCGAATATCATGACGGTTATTAATATTCTTATTATTTTTGTTTATATCAAACTGTGTTCAAAAAAAATATTTGTCAATGTTCCAGTTAAAATGGCCTAGGTAACTTCGCTCGCAGCTTATGAACGTATTTCTTTGTTTTTTCTCTTGATCAAACAGACTTATTGTCTCTTCCAACTTTATTCCATTATATAGTTGTATCTGCCGTTCAATATTTTATCATGCATCACATTTATCAATCAATTTAACTTATTATCTATTAACAAACCAGAGCTGATCACCTGCATTGTAAACTGCCTGCAAGCTGCAGGCAGTGCAGGCTAGGTATGTTACAAACCCAAACCCAAACCCAAGGGACTTGGGTGTATTGGGTTTGGGTTTGGGTACCCAAGTCTCGGACTTGGGTTTGGGTTTGGGTACCCAAGTCTGAGACTTGGGTTTGGGTATTGGGTACCCAAGTCTAAGACTTGGGTTTGGGTCAGTTGCCAAAGTACATTAATATTCTTCTTCAATGAAACTTATCAGTAGTACCTTACGATCTTCTGCCATACTATTCATTTATCTTTTTCTCTTCATTGTCGCTGTTTTTGCTTTCAAAAATTCACTTTTTTTCTTTAGTTTTCCCTATTCTTTTATATCACTTTTTATAGTGTTCGCCGATCATTTGTTAACATATTTGTGGCATGTTACCAGTGCTTATTTTTTTAGTATTTTTCCCTGTTTCAAGGATGAGGATGATATGAATAAGATAAGTAGAATAAAACATTCAACTCTTGGATATTTGAACTACTATCCGTTCCAAAATACAGTGCGGTGTGCCACTTTTTGAATAACTTCTCACAGAAGATAGATAAAGACCTGCGATTTTCGCTGTTCGATAGCCAAGACTTGAGCAAAACTTTCTACAAGCGGAAAGAACTTTTGAAAAAATTTCGAAGCTCGGGATCTTTGGGAGAGCAGGAGAGGATCTTTGGAAAACTAGCTCCGTTCTCAGAAAACTAGCATACAATGTTAGTAATTTTTTTGCATGCGTACATAGTCCGGACGTTACTCTACAAAATTATGCAAGTCCCGGCTCTCCAGTTATCGTCGTTCGGACAGGACACGCTTTCTCCGAGCACGTATCTACCTCCAAGCAGACATCTCTGGGAATCTCGAAATGACACGGAATATAGGTAATCGACCACGCTGAGCATAGTGGCAACATTTTTTTTTGTGTAGAAATGAAAATAACTTCATCGGAGGCACTTTTGTGATAAACCGGTTTTTCGCCTGTTACTAGCAAAAATTAAAATCCTTATATCTCGATCAAATCTCATGCTGGCTCAACGAACCTTTTAGGAAAGACTTAAAAGGTGCCATATATTGCTGATCACCGAAAAAGCGATCCAGCAGAGCACTGATGCTTTGAGGTTTTTCCGAAGGTTTCTTGAAAACCTTAAACCAATGCCCGGCTGAAGTTCACCTTCTTCGGCTTCGATTATGCTTTATGAGCTGTCCTGAGCGTTTTCTGAAAATTTCTTTGAGTCAGCATGAGATTTGATCGAGATATAAGGATTTTAATTTTTGCTAGTAACAGGCGAAAAACCGGTTTTTCACAAAAGTGCCTCTGGCGAAGTTATTTTCATTTCTACACAAAAAAAAATGTTGCCACTATGCTCAGCGTGGTCGATTACCTACATTTCGTGTCATTTCGAGATTTCCAGAGATGTCTGCTTGGAGGTAGATACGTGCTCGGAGAAAGTGTATTTTGGAACGGATAGTAATCCAAAATGAGCTCTTATCGTTAGCATCAGGCATTACGTATGCCCACAGGCCGAAATAAACATCTTACATCCTGTTTTCTCAAAGAGCCACAACAAAAGAAGGTATCTCAGTTAAAAGGAATCTTTTAATAACCCAAGTCTGACCCAATACCCAAACTCAAGTCTGACCCAATACCCAAACCCAAGTCTCAGACTTGGGTACCCAAACCCAAATCCAAGTCTGAGACTTGGGTACCCAATACCCAAACCCAAGTCTCAGACTTGGGTACCCAATACCCAAACCCAAGTCTGAGACTTGGGTACCCAAACCCAAACCCAAGTCCAGAGTTGGGTTTGGGTTTGTAACATACCTAGTGCAGGCAGGTTGCAGTTTGCAGGTGAATGAAAAATTTCTCCACTAACGGCCGGCAGATAAAGAAGAATGTTTTCCTGCCAGCACTCCCTGCAGGAGAGAAGATTTTACCTGCATTCACTGCAGGGAAAGACGCTTTTGTGTGGAGAACAAAAAGAGAGAGGAGACCAAGAGAAATATTGATCACACTGAAGGTCAGAATGATCTCTTAACGAAAAGAAACTAACTAACAGTTTTTTTGTATGTCTACTAGACATTTTAAGATGAAGGAGAGAAACGTTTTATCCGTAATCACTTATATCATTTGATATGTCATTTCCTCTGATATAATGGCCTAGACCGCATCTGTGTAGAATTCTTATTTCTCTTTCTTAAATGAATAAAGTTTAAACTAAACTAAACGAAAAATATAGAATAAAGAAAAACAATGAATTTCGTTCTTATTGTATGTAATGGTTCTTTTACTATGCGCACTACGTATAGTATATAGAAGATGACAAATGACTATAACGATAACAGAAAGAGAAAAATATAGAACAAGGATAGTGAATCGTAACTGGTGATACAGTCTATAATTATCAGTGTGTAATACAGACTGATAGTGGTCACTAGGAAAAAAAATTGTTATACCTCGCCTTAGGGTCCACCTGCAGCCAACCTGCAGGGTAGGGCAGTGCAGAAGTTTTCACCCTCAGCCTCTGCCTGTGCAGAACAAAAGATTTTTTTGGTAACCTGCAAACTGCAACGCGGATAAATTTTATTTTGCCCCTGCGCGATACCGCGCAGGGGTGAAAAATTATACAGGTGATCAGTTCTGTAAC